GCCTCGCCGGGATGCCCCCCCCCCCCCCCGAGGCGCAGGATGCGCGGCGCTCCACCTGTAGCTTGAACTGCCATGCCGGAAGCCCGCGCGGACGGCCGCGTCCAGCAGCCAGCGGCGACGCACCTGCTCGAACGCCTCGAGCAGTTCAGGGGGCACCGCCACGGCGACCCAGGATGTTGCATCGCCCTCCTGCTCCCCCATCTCTGTGGCCCACTCGCCCATCGCCGCCTGGCGCCGCGCGGCGCGCTCGCAGCTGCGCCCAGCAAAGGCCCGCCAAAACGGCCTGGCGCCCTTGCGCTCTCACTCGACTGCGATGTGCCGACGGAGGCGCGCCTGGGCGCGCGCCAGCACCACGATGATGGCGATGGGTCGCACGCCGCCCAACCGCCTCTCAAGGAAACCGATCTTGGCGGACAGCTCGGGCCACCGCGCGTCGCGTTCCACGGGCGCCAGCGCGTCGATGAACGCCTCCAGCACAGCGTCGCGTACCTCGTCGAGCTGCCGCGGCCTGACCGCGCAGAAGGAGACGCCGGAACCTTGCTCAAATGTCCTGAGCACACGGCGAAACTCTCTCACGGTGGGCCGAAGCGGCCGCTCACCGAGGTCTGCTGGCCACCGCGTCGTCGCCTGCTCGCGGGAGGTCCTCCGCCAGCGGCCCCACTCCTGCTCCAGCGCGCAGGCCCCCTTGCCCGCGTCAGCAGATGCGAACAGCCTCGGCGCGGATGTGACCTCCTGGTTCTCCACCTTCTCCTCGACGACGGGGCCCTCGTGCAAGCCCAGCGGAACCGTGGCGAGAGCATGAAGACCGCCCCCGCCGCCGCCAGCCTGCACGGCTACCCAGTCGGTGGAGCGCTTGGCCCGCTCGCCCATGTCCTGGGTGGCGAGCCACTGCGACTCCGCGCGGGCGGTCTTGGCCGCAGCGCTCAACTGGTCGGTGACCATCCGATGCAGCGGCAGGGCGCTGAGAGCTTGCGGCCGCGCGCAGGCGTCGGGCGCCGCAAGGGGGCGTCGCGCGACCAGCTACAGGCGCAGCGCGCACCGCGTCTCCCCCGGCGGCTTCCGCAACCAAAGCGGGCGTCTCCCCGAGCAGCCCGCGAACGCCTGGCAGGGCGTGACGACGCCGAAGGGCATCGTAATCGCACGCTCCAGCGAGCGCATCTCCGACACGGTTAAGCCAGGTCGCCCCCATGGACATGCGTGGCCAGCGGGCGGCGCGAACGGGAAGACGGCGCGCCCGGCGCACCGCGGGGTGAAATCCGCGCCCGCCGTGCTTCGCCCTGTCCTCCTCAGCCCGGCACACGTCGATCCACTCCTCCTCGGCCTGGCCCAGGAAGCGCCGCCGAGCAGATGTGAGGGGGGCGCTCGAACAACTCGAACAACTGGCCGCACCCGAGCACTCGCCCTGCGCAGACGGGCGCGCCTCGCCCTCGCCGAACGCGGCGACAAGCTCGCCGGCGAGCGCGCCGAGGCCGCCAGGCCCGCCGCCGAGGCCGCCAGGGGGGGCGCTGGGCGGCCCATGAATCAGAGGTACATAAGAAGAGCTAAATACCTCTGGATTTGGCGCGCCGCGCGGGCCGCCGGGGGCCGCCGGGCGAGCCGCCGGGGCCGCCGGCGGGCTGCCAGGCCAGAAGCCGCAGTGGAGACCGCCCGGGCCGCCAGGCGCGTCTCCTGGGTGCCAGCTGCAGCAGCGACGCCGCGAAGGCCGGCCTGGGCGCCAAGGCCGTCGGGCCCGCCGCCGTGGATCGCCGAGGTCCGTTCCTCTCGAAACTCGGAAGACGACTCCGAGGCCGCGGGGCTCGCAGAGCTTCCCGCGGTCGCGCCTGACCTGCTCGAGCCGCCCGAGCCCAGGGGCTGCTGCACCTCGCCAGCGGCGAGGCCGACCGACTGGGGGCGGCGTCGGCAACTCCAAGATGCGAGTCCAAGGCCAGGCTTTATCCGCCTCGATGGTCAGTGCAACTGGCCGATGCGGATGCACGGGCGACCCGCGCACCACCTCGACGCCCGTCACGCGCAGGGAGTGCCCCACCAGAAACATGTAGATGGAGCGCCCTGACTGCACGCAGGTCGGCTGCAGCGCGTCGACGCATACCGCGTCGAACCTCATCAGGATGCCGCCCAGCTCGACCTTGGTCACAGTGAAGTCGCCGCCCACGGCGCATGGCGCGCCGAACTCGCGCAGCCTGGACGCAAGGTCGCGCAGGGCCTCGTAGTTCCCCGTGTTCACACCGACCCCCGACTCCAGGTGCACGTTGACGAGCGCAACGCCACCCCGAACGATGCCCGAGTGGTGCATCATCAAGATCCGCCCCTCGCGCTGCACAGCGGGCCGCCCGCCCGGCATGGGCGCGAGGCCATGCTCGGCGCGTGCCATGGAGACGAGGCGGCGGCCGCCTTGGCCTTCCAACCGCGCTTGCCCATGTCGCCCTCAGCGTCGGGCGACCTGGCCGCGCGCAGTTGCGTCTCCTGCAGCAACACCACGTCGCAGCAAATCACCTCGTCGATCATGCACTTGTCGATGTTGCTGAACGTGTTCATGTTCAAAGGCGCACCCTCCACGCCGTCGCAAAGCTAAGCCCGCCGCCGCTTGGAAACCACCGCGTCGGAGTGCTTGGCCAGCAGCGAACACTGGAATTCCTCCACAAACCTCTTCTCGGGGTCCTGGCCGCAGAAGTCGTCGTTGAACGACTTCCAGAACTCAGACTCTTATTGTAGCACAGAATCGACCTCCATGCTGTCAGCGCCTTGCGCGCCGCCAGCAGCAGCGGCCTCAGCAGCGGCGCCGCGATTGCCAGCGGGAGCGCCCGTTCCACGTGCCGCCGCCGGCGGAAGAGCGGCCGCAGGCGGCTTCGCAGCCGTCGCGTCCGCGGCGATTTTGCCCATGCTGCTGAAGCGGCGCCGCAGCCGACCCGAGGTCAGCCCCGTGCAGCTCCGAAGCCAGGCTGCCGATCGGCGAGGGCGGCGGAGGCTTCGGATCCTCGGCCTCCTCAGCCTCCTCAACAGCAAGCGCCGCCTTGGCGTTGGCGACAGCCTCGTCCAACTTCATGCGAGGTTTGCGCACACGCTGCTGCTGCTGCTGCTGCTGCTCAGCCGCCAACAGCGCCTGCTCGGCGGCCGCGCGGCGTTTGAACAGCAGGTCCGTCGTCCAGCTGCACGGCCTTCTCGTCAACGCGGCAACGCTGTCGAACATGCCGTCCTCCATGGCCAGGTAGTGCAACCGCTGCTCGTCGTCGAGCTGGGGTTTGGGCTGCGTCTACCCGGCGGTGCCACCTCCACCAGCACGGCCACAGGGGGGCATGCCCTTACCTGCCACGCCCGCGGTCCCTGGCCCCTGTCTGGCCTGTTGGCCCACACAGCGTTAGGAGGAAACACAGCACGACCAACCAGCTGCCACGGCGCCTTCGGCTGGCGCCCCGCGGGGTTGCAGGCGACGCAACTCGCCTGGCGGCAGCGAGCCCTGTCTGTTCCCGAAATTGTGGTACCCGCGCGTGCCACAGTGCCACCCATCTCCAACAGCGCCGCTGCCGCCTTGCCCCACACTGCCACGGCCCATCGCGGAATGAAACGGGGAGCGCGCCGAGTGAAGACTGCGCACAGACAGAAACAATTTTTTTTCTGCTTGGAGGCTGAACAGCCCCCCAGGAAAACATCTTGAGCCAAAATGGCTACGGAAAACCCGGAGAAACAATTAATGTCCCCCCCGGCGTTATCATTAGCATCGCGCCGCAATTAAATAATTATTTGGGGGGTTTTCGCCGAGCGATATTATTAGCACCGCGCAAATGGAAGAACAATAAATAATTCCAGCGCCCCGCCTCGGGTGGCATCCCAATTAGAATTGTAATGAGAATAAGAATGCGAATGCGAATAAGGAAAAGCTGAGAAAGGCTAAGGAAAAACTTAGACAAGCTAAAAAAAAACGGAGAAAAACTGAGGTGCCCCCTCCTGGTGCCAGGATAACGTTTCCGGGTGCCGGGTGCGTTATCCTTTCACCGGAGAGGGGGGGGGGGAGGGGTGTTCCTTAATCGCTTACTCGGGTTAGGCGGAAGAGGAGGAGGAGGAGGACGAGGAAGAGGAGGAAAAAGACCAGTGGAAACCCAAACGTCATCAACGATGTCGGAATTAACCCCCCCTCCAAGCTCCCTCGTCGCAGGCCCCTACAACGGTTCATTTCCGTTGAGGAAACGGCCTCGCTGGAAGACAGGGGTTTTCAATATCCTGAAACGTGCCAAAACATTGTTCTCGGGATGTCTGCGCCGCGTACCAACCTGACTGCTGCGTCTTGACGACCCAGGATCGTGCCCGAACGCCGTCATTGGGACATCAATTCCGCGAATCAACATACTTAGCTGCTGCGCCCGCATAGTCGTGAACCCTTCCAGAACACCGATTCTGATACGCAGACCATGAGAACCTGTGAAACCCGTGCAACTTAAAAACGAATGTGCGCGGCGCTAAGGCGAGAACCATATTTTGAAAAAACCTCAATCCGAGAAACTCTTGTATATGTTTAAAACGAATGCGCGCGGCGCCGAGGCGAGAATTCGTCGAATCCGTCAAACGCATAGAACGAATGCGCGCGGCACTAAAGCGAAAGCCACATGTTGCAAACCGCCCGTCCTCAATCCGTGAACCGCATGCAATGAAAAATATGCGCGCGCCGCTAAGGCGAAAACCACATGTTGAAAACCACCCGCCCTCAACCTGTGAAGCTCTTGCAACATGTTAAAACGAATGCGCGCGGCGCGAAGGCGAACGCCACATTTTGAAAACGGCCCGCCCTCCATCTGTGAAGCTGCTGTCACGGCTTAAGCTTCCGAATCATGAATGGTGAGGAAGTCTCGTGCGAAACGCCCAGCCCAGCCTAAAAACCAGCCCCGGGGGTGCGACAAGGAGGAGTATCTATCAGGAGAAGGAATAGAAGAGGAGGAGGAGGAGAACGAGGAGGAGGACGAGGAGGAGGGGAAACGGAAGGGGGAGCAGGAGGATGAGGATGATGATGAGGAGGAGGGGGAGGAGCTGGATCGGCGCGACATGGGGGGCAGAGTCGATCCACTGCGCACCCCTCGCGGCCTCGCGCCCCGACGCGCGGGCCGTGGCGACGAGGACGGAGCCCGACGCCCGCGCGACCGCCTTGGAACCCCGAGGGGGGATCCAAGGAGGGCGCGCCCACCCCGCACAGGCCCGCGGGCCAGGCGGCACGACCCCAGGAGGAGCCCCAGGCAGGCCTCACGGGGCCGCCCTCGCAAGATTCCGAGGGGGATCCAGCACGGACGGGGAGAGCGGGGCCTCGCTCCGAGGCCCCTCCCCGCCCGCTTTCGCCCCTCGCCCCCGCGCGCGGCTCACCTCGGAGAACTCATTCTCCCCGGCCGCGACGACCTGGAGCCACGAGTCGGCGCACTCCGCGAACTCGCCACCGAGGAACATCTGAACCAAGGTGTTCCCCGTCTCGGAGCCGATCGACACGTCGCAGCCCCACTCCGCGGCTGTTGACGCCTCGTCGAACAGCCCCTCGAAAGCCACATTCACCGCCCTGGGCCCGAGCGTGGCCGCCAGCGACTCTCGGAGGGAGCCAAACCGCTCGAGCACATCAACGGCGAACTGCACTATCTGCCAGTTGGTCCCCTTGCGCCTGCGCCTGCGCCGCGGCCGCGAGCCGCCCGCCCGCGCCTGCTCCAGGGAGGCCGTCGGCAGCTCGACCAGCACGTCACAGTCCTCGCCCCCTGCATCGGCCCAGCGGGGCCTCTGCTCCACGGGCCTCGGCGGCACCACGCTCACCTCGCCGACGAGCTCCTCCTCGGCGACGGCGTCGCTCCTCGGCGCGTGGACGCTCCCCTCGATGCCCGTCGGCACCCCTGGCCGCCCCTCGGCGCGGCCGGCAGCCCCGGCGGCGGCCTCGGGCGGCCCCCCTGGCCGCCCCTCCACGATCTTGATCGGCACATTCGGCACGTGGGCGCTGACCTCGACGTCCTCGGACGAAGCCACCTCCACGACCTTCTCGACGTAGTCCGCCGCTGGCACCGCCACGCTCACCTCGCCGACAAGCTCCCCCTCGGAGTGGTTCTGCGGCACGTAGGCGCTCCTCTCGATGCCCGCGGCCACGGGCACCTCCACGAACTCCTCGGCGGCGACCTCCATGAACGACCCCTTCTGCACGTGGACGTGGACACACTCGTCGACGCCCTCGGACGTCGGCGCCTCCACGAACTCCTCGACGTAATCCTCCGACGGGATCGGCACCTTCGGCACGTGAGCGTTCGCCACGACGCCCTCGAACGACGGCCCCTCCAAGACCTCCTCGACGTGCTCCGCCGTCAGCACCGCGACGCCCACCCCGCCGACGAGCTCCCCCTCGGCGTGGCTCTGCGGAACGCAGGCGCTCCTCTCGATGCCCCCGGACGCCGGCACCTCCACGAACTCCTCGGCGGCGACCTCCATGAACGACACCTTCTGCACGTGGACGTGGACACACTCGTCGACGCCCTCGGACGTCGGCGCCTCCACGAACTCCTCGACGTAGGCCTCCGACGGCTCCGCCTCGCTCTCCTTCGGCAGGTCGGCGCTATCCTCGCCGTGCACCTCCGCCTGCCCCACCACGCTCTCCACGGCCCTCGGCACGACGGCGCACACCTGCGGCCAGAGCAGTACCAGGCCGCACGCCACGAGGGAGAAGAACCCCGCGAGCGCCCCCAGCAGCTCGAGCAGCGGCACCGAGACGCGGCCGAAGGACGAGCCCACGGCGATGGCCACCACGGACAGGGCGGCAGCCGCGCTCACGACGAAAAGGGAGGGGAGGAGGAGGAGGAGGAGGAAGAGGAGGTGGAGGAGGAGGTCCCGGGCGATGGAAGGCGCAGCCGATCAGATCGAACGCGCCCCAGCAGTGGGGAAGGACTAAAACTGCACTGCTATCGATAATTCGACTGCAACGCACAGCTCATCCAGGCACGCGACGACCCCAGCGAAATCGAACGATCGAAAGCGGAGTCTGTGCGGCCTGGGCATCACACTGGCAAGGGACGGCCTGCGCGGGGATGAATGCCCCGCATGATACGAGAAATCGCTTGCTCCTCGTTGGCGCGCGAGCTGTCCACTTCGGCGTGTCCACGACACTCCTTCAGCAGCTTGGGATTACTACCCTGGGAAGCCGAATACGCGCCACAACTGAGGCGCACAACCGCGCGGCCGAAACGCCCCATGACGTGCTCGTTGCCACGAAAGAACAGCAGCTCTCCACCCTCCTCCGCCCGACTCGAGCCCCCACCCGCCCCGCCCCCCCCCGCTCCTCTAGGGGCGGCCGCCTGGGGGGGCGCGCCTGGATCTGGGCTGTCCTCGCCCAGCCCGGCGGCGGCGATGGCCACGCGCGCGGACTCGCTCGCGCAGGCATACTGCTCGGGCGTGATTATGAAGAATCTCTCGGCCGAGGCGGCGTCCAGCGGACTCGGCTCGCACGCGCGCGCGCGCGGGGGGCCCGTGGAGACTCCTCAGTCCTGGCGTATTTGACACAGGCAGCGCAACGGTATTCGCCCAGCCTCGCACATAACCGAAACTCATGAGCCTGCAAGGCGACCGGCGGCGCGACGCTCGAATGCGTCGGCGGCGGCGGCGTGCTCTCTTGAGAATGGGGCCCCTCGGTCTTGCGGGCAGCGGCCTGGGCCATCCAGGCACGCGCGCGGCAATTGTCTTCGGCGGCCTTAAGAGACGCAGTGTGAAAATCCTGCAAGACACGGGCTGGGGCGTGCAGCAATTCTCCCTTTGTGGCAAAGTGATCTGCCCATTCATTGCCAACAAAGCGCTCAAAGTCACACTCGCGAGACGCTAATGCCGAATCTAAGCTCCTGTGAGCGGGCGCCCACTCGAAGCTAGGCGGCTCCTCATTCTCATATAACCTGCGCGTCTGCCTCCAAATCGCAGCGTGCATAGATCGGGCATCGCATGCCGTGGGGCTCCGCTGCTGCCCATCTCTCACAACATTCAAGTGGTCTGAAATCACAGTCGCGGGATGGGCGGCTACCTCGAGTGCATTGGGACCTGCGTAGTGTTCCGCTCTAGGCGCAGACTGGGCCGGGCCAGGCGGAGCGCCAATGATGGCGCGGACCACGATTCCCGAATCATCTAATTCGACGACAGACTAGCCACACCTCGCGAGCCCAGGCAAGGACGAGGCTTGGGCCGATCCGTCCGCGCAGACCTTCCGCCCCCACTGGCCCCGCCAATCCCCCCCACCCAAGGGCAGGACATGCCTCGTCGGGGGGCGACGGAAAAGGCGGCAAGGGCGGCGGCCCGAAATTTGAATGGAGCTCGCCCGAAACAGATTGACTCGAATACTTATCACGAATCGCGGCTCGGAGCTCTAGCACATCGTCGGGCGCAGCTTCCTCGGGGGTCCAGCGTGGCCCTGCGACCGAAGCGCTGATGAGACTCCGACCCGAGCGCCTGCTGACAGACAAAGCAAGCATTTGGGTGAACGACGAAGCTGGGTGGGGTGGAGGCGCTCCGGGGTCCAAACTCCAGCAGCCCAAAGCGAGCGAAGGGCCCCTCTCCGACCAGCATCTGCAATCGACAGGACAGCATGCCTCATGGCCCGCCTCCAACAAGTCTGGCCCTGGCTATTGGGCAAATGCTGGAGGATGCGATCGGTCTGCCAACGACGTATAACTTCCTCGAGGAACCGTCGCACGTCGCACGGGCAAACACGAAGCATGTCCATGTGCATTTCTTGATCAGATACAAGCATTGTCGGGGAAGCTATCGCCCAGCTCACGCGAGATAGCGTGGCCCAAACAGTGGCGATCGGGCCTCTGGCTCCAAACCCAGGCGACACGTGCATCCTACCTCCAACAGCGCCCCAAGCGCGACGGAGACGGCCTAAGGCCACTCGACTGCCCCGCAAGAAAGACGCAAAACGGACAACAATCGGCACCGAAACTTCGAACATCGGATGGAACCGATCGTCTTCCTGCGTCGCAAGATGCACAGTTAAACTGGACTTAGGCTTAGCACCGCGCACTCCACCAGCAAAGGTTCCAAGCTCTCGCATGGTCGTGCCCGAAAGCCCCGAGACACCGGCCCCGCGGCCAGCTGCTGGGGGGGGCCCCGTTCTCCACGGGGCCTTGACGGCCTCGCCAGTGGCGCGATTCAAGCCCCAGGCCTTGCGCTGTTTTGCCATGAGCGTGCGCAACCTAGCTTTTTCCTGCACTCGCAACACTCTAGACCCATGCATCTCGTGGCCCAGATTTCTCATGGCCTCCTTGGCTCCTATGCCAAGGGGCCCGATGGATTTGGCAAGCGATCACGGCCTCTAGCCGCGCTGGCAACAAACCCTGCCCTTCTGGCCTGCACATCGAGCCCCGGTGGCCTTATCCTCGCAGAAGGTGTGGACAGCATTGGCCAACTGTCTGGGCTCGTCCCTGTGACCCCCCGCCCTCCACCGCTCCCCCGACCAGTTGAAACTCGCATCATCTATCAAATCGCGCGGCGTGGCCGACGGGTAAAGCTTCATCGTGTTCTGAAGGCTCCTATAACATAAAACCTTGAGCATCGTGGCGGCCATGCTGCACCCAGCTAGAATGCCCTGGTTAGAGGAGACGGGGATCGAGAGAGAGGCAAAGGCGCGGAGGCAACGAGGTTGGAGGTAGGTCTGGCTAGTCATCCACGCTCGCCTCATCGGGAACCCGTTCGCACGGGCTTCGTCCAAAAGGCTCTGCAATGTGATCGTTTCGTAGCATGTAAGCATGTCTACGAAGACAGTTAAGTTGCACCTCGTGGGCAACTTCTGCATCTAAATTCAGAGAAAACGCGCTGTCCGACGAGGGCCTGCCAGCTCCTGCTCCCCAAAAGCGCTCCAAATCGTGAGAGGGCTCCCAAGCAGCCGCTATGGGCCGTCTGGCCCTGCCCCAGACGCGGAGAAGGGTCATGAGGTGGGCTATAAATCAGCACCCCCCGACGGCTTGGGGAGTCTTACGAGCTGGGTCAGAATCTTACTGGATAGCCAGAACAGCAGCGTTTCACACCTCATAAACAGCTGCGCTAGAACTTCCAACCCCAGCATCGCGCCGGAAAATCAGGCCCCTGGGGGCAAAACTGAACTGGCCGACGCCCGTAGCCCAAGGAAGCTGAAGAATCGTTTTTTTTCTTTCAAATCAGCTACCCCGAGCGCCGGAAACTCGCGCGAGTCTGCCGCGTCGGACGGCAGCTTCGGTGCCGGAACATCGTGCGTCGACCGAATCGTACCCCACTGCCTTATCGCCTTGTCAGTTAGCACATGCGGCTGCACAGTGGTACGAGCCAAGAGATTTGCATCCACCACCTCCTGGAAGGCCTTGCCCCTCGAGTGGCGGCGCGCGACCCTGGCTCCATTTTTAAACGAATTGGTCGCCCAAGCTCGCCAGGCCGCAGCTGACTTCTCCGACTGCTTGTCCACTAGCACTGCGGCCTTGGCTTCAATGGGATCCAACGCTGCGTCAACATCTGCCGCGGTGGAAAATCCATACCGGGCAGGAAAACGCCCGAGGCCCAAGACTCTAAATCTGCAAGATCCTGGTGTTTCTTCAACATCTCAGAGAGGAACCTACTAAGCTCGATCATTTGAATAGCAAGTTTCTGATGAGACGACTCCTCTGCCATACCAGCCTGCTGCTGGTGGCCGATCAGAGCAGTGAGATTGAGAATCGCCCCCTTCGACCGACGCGTGTGTCGGGCCCACCTGGCCGCAATGTTCCACGAGCGTTCGGCGTGTGACATGTGCTCTCGCTTAACCTGCGGCTGCCACTGGAGTTTGGTCAAGACGAAGCTAACAGGGCCACCTGCACCACGACGTGCTTCACCTGTGGACCCGACAAGGTCATACCTCCCTAGCATATCTAATTCGATCGGATGCAAAACCGCATCCCAAGCTTGCTGCAATTCCGAGTTACTGCTGGCAGACGTTACGAGAACTCTGACCCCCTCCCATCTCAACGGGAACCGGGGACAACCAGGAGACGGCTGCTTCGGCACGGACCTGGGGCCATGCAGCTCTCTCCGATATAACTGAAGGTCACGGCCTGATAGAGGGAGATAAGACGGGCAAATGCGGAAAGGTGGCCGCCGCTTTCTGCACCGTCGGCTGGCCCACACGAGCCATTAAATTGGCCGAGGTAAGGAAGAAGTCATTGCGGCGACCAGGCACTCTTTGGCGACAGGTCGTCGCCGCAAGCGCCCTCGGCATGCCGCCCAGGCCGTGCAGCCAGGCCAAATCGCCCATCTCCGGCGGCTCCATGTTGAAGCCGCCCGCCGCGATCCAGTCGTACCCCGCGCAGTTGAGGCGGTCAACGTAGCTGCTGACCACTTGCATCACATAAACGTTGCTGTCCGACCAGCCTTCATTCACGTACAAGTACACGGGAATGAGCAACACTCCGCCAGGCACTCCCCAGTGCACCTGAGCTGGGAGCGCGCGGCCTCCCGCCAGCGATCCCGCAGTCATGAACGGGGCTCGGGTGATCATCACCGTCGGCCTCGCCAAGATCGCCAGCCCACACACCCTGCCAGCCCATGCCGTTCACCCTGGACTGGGCGTCGGCCAAGAGCGCGGCCGAGATGTGGTGCTCCTGCAGCATAACCACGGCGAGGGAGCATCCAAGCAGGAACTCCCCCATCTGCTTCCCCGTCGAAAAATTGAGAGTGACGATGGTGCCCTCCTCGTGCTCGCCGAGAGTGTTGCCCACCGCTGGGTCGGCCCCAGCATGTTGCCCTGACGCGTTTTTCGACAACGCGTGCGGAAAACGAGCGGACGAGGGGCC